TACTGTCGAATACGTATAATACGTTTTCAAATGTTCAGTTTGAGCAAATATTTTAAAATTGTTGTTTTCAAATAACGTGATATTTTTCGGTAGTTTTCGGATACGAATATTAAATTAAATATTAAAATTTTACCAAAATTGGAAAATACAAGGGTTCACAAGCACGAAATGGCAATACCGCTCAACAATATTTGTATATTTGTCACTGGCATTTGTCATCAAGTGGCAAATCAGATATTTGGTCATTTGCGTAATTTTTATTTGGCTTATGTAGCAGCATTGCGTTCACACGATTTGGCCACCAGGGTTGTTTTTTCATTTGCCACAAGAAGGCAAATATTTGGCTTTTCTCATAAATGACAAATGTAATTTAGCGTTCACATGATTTGTCTATGAATTTGACAAATTTTTAGCCAAATGTACAAATCGTGTGATCCCAGCTTTACACCCTCATTGCGCGAATCGTGTCGAATGCAAGTCATTTTTCGAGAGTCGAATCGTAATCGAAATTTTCACGTCATTGCCTAAAATTTCCACTCGACTAGTGTATTAAAACGGAAAAACTTGGCAGTACTCTATAGTTTTCGACGATTTTCGTTCTTTATTTATTTCAACACGATAGTAGACAATGCCAATGTTGTCGAGTCGTACAATTTAGCTTAATTCACGACTTACGCAATGACGCTGTTAACTGTTTGACGTGGTGCGAATGTTCTACGACGGACAAAACTATGAAGCTTTGGCATGTTGAAATACCGTGCCCGATTTGGAGCAAAACGAGCACACGACCTCCTTTGAGGAGATGCTCTTGGTTAAAAGCGAGTGATAGATTCTTGTATGGTTGGGAGTATTGGTTGGGAGTTGACAAAGTCGCTGTTGCGCCTTGGATGCCTTTAGAGCATGCGTTCAACTGTTGACAACGTTTGTCAAGCATTGCCCAGCAGTCCACCCACTTAGGCAATGTCATGTAGTCAATGTGTTCGTCCAGCTTGCTTTTTGTTTCTGAGTCAACTTTACTCAAGGCAACATGTATGATTAATGCATCGCATATCTGCTCAAATGATCTAAGAAATTGCAGTGAGCTGTACAGAGCAGAGACGGTGTCAGCAATATGTCGTAGCTGTGCGGGAGCGGGTTTAGTCACCTTGGGAACCTCAAATAAGGCCGATATATTTTCCAAAAATATTAAGGTGTTGTTGTCGTAGCGATCCTTTAGACGTTGAAGAGCCTTGCCGTAATTTTCGTTTGTTACTTGGAACGCCCTTACTGTGGACAACGCTTCACCGCTCAAACATGTCAGCAAATGGTTGAACTTTTCAATCGCTGGAATGTTTGGATCATTATCTACCAAATTTCTGAAGCAATTTATGCAGTTAAATTCCGGATTCGCGTAATGCTGCCTTTAGTTGAGGCTCGTAATTGCTTTACTTCTTCGACTGAAGGTTGATTTTCTGTCATTTTAACAACTTAGACAAGATACGTGGATAGCAACGAATGAAAATTCTGATTGCAAAAACGAGTGGATGAGAGAAATTTAGAAATCCAATTAGTTAAGTGTAGCTAGATATGAATTGCACTTGGAACGCAGTGAATTAGTACAGCGCAGTAGCAATAACAGGGTTGATGTGGTATTTACGGGGATGTAAGCTACATTTGCTAATCTCATGCGATGAATAGCAACGATACGACGATCGATGTTCCGATAATGCAGAACAGCAGCAGCGACGGTCGAATCCCAAACTCTCACTGAACTAGAGAAAAACACCCACCGTGATTCAATAATACAAGGTTCGATAAACTAACAGTTGTCTCTCGCACCGCTCCCTTAGCAGTGGCACCGTGTTGTATCTTTGCAAATTTACTTGTAAAAAGTGTAGCTTTGGTGTGAAATAGAAGTATAAGCTTTTGTGCAATATGCTTATTTGTATATACATATGAAGTACATTTAACTGATGAAAACATAAACTTTTTTTAAATTGGATATTTAGATAAAAGTCGCAGTAGTTTTATATTAATTTTCAGCCCTTTTGCAGTTTTTATACAGCTAAATAGCACATAAATTACGTAATTCACGTAGATATTGTAATATTCCGTTCAATATTTCGTTTAAAATGCCAGATTTCCTGCAAATACATTGGAATTTACAAAAGGAAATTTAATTGCCTACTTTGCGTACTTTTCTACTACCATTTACGCACCAACAGATTTCATTCTTCGTCTTTCTCCGTCCTTCGTAAATGCAACCTTTTGTAAGGGAGTGTCAAACCGCAGCTGTCAATAATTATCTAACTTTGTATTATTGAATCATGAACACTCACCAACTGAGACAGTGAAGTACTGTATGTGCACAACACTTGGTAATAATAGGGGAATTCGCTCTTATGTGGATTCGTTATATATTGTGTAATCGTAACTGTATGAGCGTGTGATTTGTTGTTGCTAGCGGTACATCAAATCCACATGCAACAACAACCGATGCTCGCCCAGTTACACTTACGCAGGATACAGCGAACGCACAGAAGCGCGAATACCACTAATGATAATTACGTTCGCAAAATCTGTATGTATACCGGGCGCTGTACTATGGGCCAGATAACTTAGTTCGATGGCCAAAAGTCAATTTCGGAAATCAATAAAACGAAATATACCATTTGAACCAGTAATGATGAAAGTATTTTCCATGCAATTACGTTTGGCTTACTATAATCCATACTTAATCTACACTTGCATGAAGTTGGAAAACTTAGTTTAAATTTCATCATACTAGTTTGTACTTTTTGCTACTTACTTAATTATTGTTTGGAAGAATTTAATTCATCCTTTAATTTATCGGTTACATTTACTCATGGGCAGAAAAAAATCTAAATTTAAGTTAATTCATTGCAATTTTGGAAAATACTACAAAGTTTTATTCACCCAATTATAAATATTTCCGTTTTGTGGTACTACCGAAGGCAAACTTCCTGAAACTCTAATAAATATCAGACTTACTTTGATTACAATTTCTTCATTAGACCCTTAACTAAAAAAAAGTCGGCCCACTTTTGCCCGAATTCATAATTTTTTTAATCCACTCATATAAAAGTATTCGTCGCTATATCTCTTTAGAATACATTTAACATTTTATCGTGCAGTTGAGCATATTTAGGGCCGTTTTCTAATGTAAGCAGTAAAGTTGCCTTTACTAACAGGGCAGATAAATTGTTCCTCACTTTAAAGTGTTTTCGTTTTCTTACCTTGAAGGTAAAAATAAATTTGTTATTCCGTAGAGTGAAACTTCACTACATTT